TGCCTGGACGCCCGGACTGTAATTGCTATTTTTCCATGATCTCTTCCGGTGCTCGCCCTTTCTCCTGGCTGGACGCCCCGGCTCGGACGGCCGAATAAAAACAGTTCTTCGCAGACGCTTGATCCCCCCGGATCTCCATGACGCCCTCTGGCGTGGCGAACTTCAACTTCTGGTGGAGAGTGGAGTGCACCGCTCCCAACGCGTGCAGCCATGTTCGCCCCATAATCACGTTGTAAGGAGAGTCCGTGTCGATCACCACAAACTCTGTGTCGATGACGAAGGGACCAGTGGCGACCGGTAATGTAATTTTCCCCACGGGCAAGGCGAAAGAGCCGTTGAACCCGATGAGGGGTGTCCTGATTTTGGTTAAGTCTTTGGGGCCAAAGCCCATCCGCTTCAAAGTCTCGAAGTACATCACCTCCGAGGAACTCCCTGAATCTATCAAGATTCTCTTGACATCGAATTTCCCTATCTTTAGGGTTAAGACAAGGGCGTCGTTATGAGGAATCACCACGCCCGTCAAATCCGCGTCAGAGAACGTAATGCCAAGCTCACCCATCCTGGCCCTTTTGCTTGATGGCCCCACACCTCCTTCGGCTACCTTTCTGGTAAAAGCTACCCTCTTGAGGTCGGATTCGAGCTCTTTGGACGTGGGGCGCTCCAGTGGACATACATGGATGACGTCTATGACGTTGTTCGGTTCCTCGGTCGGGGCAAGGGCTCGTTTCTCTTCTGGCCTAGGCTCTATGTATTCTTTCAGGTATCCATCTCGGACTAAGCTCTCCAAGAATGACTTGAACACCCTGCAGCTCTCGGTGCGATGCCCGACATCCCGGTGATATGAACACCTTACTGTTTGATCACGGGTGGAGGGGTCGCTTTGCATCCTGGGCGGCCATTTGAAGAACGGCTCGCGTTTGATTTTATGGAGCAACCTGAAGATGGGTTCCTTGAAGACGGTGTGAACTCCTCTGGACGAACCCCCTGGACGGGGTAGCAATCCCTTCCGGGGAATATCTTCGTGCTCTTTTTCCTTTCTCTTGGGTTGGAGGGCTCGGCCTTTGTTGCTCCCCATCTCGTCCTCGACCCTTGAGTACTTGTTGATCCGGGCCATCAGTTCCCCCATATCCGAGGGAGTCTTTTTGGTCAGGGATCGGTACAGGTCCGTGTCCCTCGCCAAGCCGAGCCGGAATGATGCTGCTGCCATGACCTCCGAGCATCCCTCGACCTCATTGACTTCTTCCCAGTATCGGATGGCGTACTGGCGAAGAGTCTCGGATTCCCTCCTCCTGAGGGTCAGCAGTGATCCAATGTCCTTTGGGCGCTTACTCCCCGTGATGAATCGGGTTAGGAACTGCCTTGTCAATTCTTTCCAGGACCCAATACTGTTTGGGGGAAGCGCCTCGAACCACCTCATCGCAGAGTCCCCCAAGCTCATAGGGAACACCCGGCATAGAAACCGTTGGTCCGAATGATAGAGGGACATCATCTGCTTATATTGTCTGATATGGGCATCGGGATCAGATCGCCCATCATAGGTCTTGAACCGTGGCACGACGAACTTTCTTGAGACATCCATCTCACTGATTTCCCTTGTGAAGGGTGTTTGCATGACTTCGTCCTCGGCCTCGTCCTGGACAGTCTTACCCTTTCTTCTGGAGTCTAATCGGGCTCTGAGATCTACTTCTTCCCTTACGGGATGCCTCCTGAAGTCTCTGGGTTCGTCGGTAAGCCCCTCGTTTCCTGGGCGTCGTGTAGATTGGGTTGAGTCCTCCTCGGATTCATCTCCCTTCCTCCGTCTGGATAAACCTCGCCGGAGGTCGTCCAGGGCCAATGGCCTTGCTTTCCTGGAATGGTTGTCAAGATGGCATTCGCCGGCTTTGGGTCGCTTCGGGGCCCTGGAGCTTTCTGCTTTGTGATCCAGGTGGTTCCTTAGATCCTTTGTCTCCGCCTCATGGACGGGGAGTCCTCGGGAGAGGAATGAATCCCTCGACCCTCCGCCTGAGGCAGCAAACTCGTCGAGCCGGCTAAGGACGTTTACATTGTCCTTCTCCAGCTGACGTAATCTATCGCCAAATTTCTCTTCAATCACCTCTGCCAGCTGACGGGCCAAGGGGGCTGATCCTCCTGACCTGATACCCATACTGGTTTGAGGGGTTACCCCCCTTGACCGAGTAGAGGCACTTTTAATCGTACTGGTGCGATCCCTCCCTCCGTGATGGCAGGGAGCTTGCAACTCATGACTCCGTTGATGGGGTCCCTTCCCTTTCTGTCTGGTGTTCACCATGGTCACTGTTCTTTTTAGAGAAAAGATTAGGAAAACTACTCGTTTCCCACAGACGGCGCCAGATTGTGCGGGCTCGATCCTGCACGATATATAAAATATTGGGAACAGATCTCTCCCCTGGTGAACTTTGGGTGAGCCGGTTGAGTGGCCAAACACACTGCTCGAAACAGCCTACAAGGAACGGTGGCAACCTGGAACGGCAAAGGAAGATCCTGGGAAAGGAAGAACGATCCTGTACGTGTGAAAGGTATTTCCTGGAACAAAGGAGAACAAGTTAGAAGGGCGCCGGAGTGTTTTCCGGCGTATCCCCTCCGACGGTCTAGTCAGTCTTTGAATGAGAGAGAGGAAGGAGAAAACACTGAGAAGGATATTTCGTAGTAGAGAGTTTGTGATTGCATACCCGCTTTGTCTTTTGGGAGGGGTATTTATACCTTAGAAGATCATGATTGCTGTCAGTGTGGTCAGTAGGTGATCATCAGGCACAGGTAGCGTGTGTAATCATTTGATGAGGAATGTCTTCTCTAATTGACTGCTCGGGGTCCCGAGCAATCAATGGTGAGTTGTCGGGACGCCGACGGTACAATATGCTCCTTTCGGGAAGGATGCAATAAATGCTCTGTAATAGGAGCATTTATTGCCTTTCATATCCGAACCTTACCGCATTGAATGCGGTCTCGTCAACAGAAGGGTGCAATTAATTGTTTGCTTTCCCAAGTCGCGTGCCAGCAGCGGCATGCGGTTTGTCTGCTTCGGATGTGACATTATTTGCCACGCGTCCATCCCTTATTGGCTGTTACGTCGGTATTCCAGCACGTTCTGACATTACTTGTGTAAGAAGAGGTCATGATGAATAATCCATACTGGCATAGGCTGATGTCCAGTATGTCAGTAGCTTTATCCGGGAGTAGAGGAAGCGTCCAGGATGGAGTGACCCTCGGCACCGAGGAAAGACTCACCTCGGGGACCGAGGGCGGTATGTTCGAGCTACACGGTGACCGAGGACACGTGTCGTTGTATAATGCACCGAATATGTGATCCTATATGAGAGGTACCTCGGGGGAGAGGACACTTTTTGCCGATGGTGCTTAAACCCGAGCAACATTGTTCTAGAAACCCCGAGGACACGTGTCTTCATCATAGGGCTTTTCAGAAGAGTCCCATCAAATATTTTCGTTGTAAATTAAAAAAATATTGGTTGGTTATTGGGGAGTTGAGAGGTGATTATAAATAACACATGGTAGTGTCTAATTGAAAGAAGTCTTATTTTTTGAATTAGAAAATTTTAAATTTGAAGACTATAGGAAATAGAGAGAGAAGACTCTCCAAACTATCCCACCTCGAAATTGTTTGTTATATAGATAGATAGGATTGATTTTGAATCACAAATGTTCTATCATATTTGGGTATTCTTAGATTTAAATTTTATCAATTTTTATTGAGTTAAAGCAGCCAGTTTAAATCATTGGGTTACAAATACAATAGTGGATAATCTACATGCTACCAATCTCTATTGGATAATAGATAAAAATTGGAGCCTGTTTTAGTTCATTAGATATCTCTAGTCATTCTTTACCAACTAGGAATTCCATATCTTTCTTTATTGGTCTATTTGTGCTGGTTATAGTATTCTTGTCTTTAAATACGTGCTTCTTTCTGCCCCTCTCCTCTGAATAGGCTTTTTGGGAAATGAACGTCACTGCTCATGGTCTTTTTATTCCAACCTCGTTTTGGGTTTTTAACAATGAATAATTGAATTTGATCGAATTGAAAATTTTTGAAATCATAAAATAACAAAAAAGAAAGTTTCTAATGTAACCAGTTTTCTTGAAGGTATCTATCTATCTATCAAGTTGTGTTACATTAGGGCGGGTGATGTTATGTTGGATCACTTATAAGTAACTCTAATCTAATATTTAAGGTAAAGTATCCGTTGAATAAACTTAATTATCAAACAAATCTTACTTTCATTGTCGAGTCATAACGTTTGAATCAAATATTGGAAACAAATTTTATTCTATTTCACCTTGGCTCCATAAAACTTCTAATTTACTTATTATGAAGGCCAATAAAATAAAGTAAAAAAGGGAAAAAGTCAATTTTTTAATACCATATAGAGAAAAAAAAATGACAAATCAAAATCCGCTAATTTCATATTAGATTGATAGCATATTTTATAGTTGGTCCTTGAATTTTGTTTTTAGTTTTAATTTGGTGTTTAAACTTTTAATTTTTGATTTTAATCTCTTAATTATTAATTTTGTCACAATTAAACCCTTCTTTTTATTTTAAGGGTTAACTTAATACTAAAATGGATCAAATTGGGTTAATATTCGATTGATCTGATGGTGAAAATTAATGAAATGATTTAATTGAGACAAAATTGATAGTTTAGGGACTAATTTGAAACAATTAAAAGTTTAAGGGAAAATTTAGAGTCCAATATTCACCTTAAAAGAAAAAATTTACCGGGGCCCACCTAACGAACATCAGCGGTCTATATCCCTCGATCAACAAAGTCCATCACAGAAGACCATGAACTCTCATAAGTATCACATATATATCCCTACAATCCCCTCGCATGTCGTGCATTAACCAATAGCCACCTCTCTCTTTCTCTGTCTCTCCTCTCTCCTCTCCCTGACATCTTATCTAGACGCAACAAAACTGTCGCGACAACTTAGCCGGAAAATCTGGTCGCCGACGAACCACCGGCATGGCGACAAACCCACCGGAGGGTTACCCAGACGACTTCCTCGAGCAAATCTTAGCTATTCCTTCCTATTCCGGCTTGGCGGGAACAGATGTTGGCAGTTCTTCCGAAACACTGTCGACACCATTCCCGTTAGGTTTGGGCTTAGTTAACGGCCGGAACGACGTTAATGCTAGTGATGGTGAAGCTTTTGCAGCGAGGAGTGTAAGTAATGAATTTACTTATATGCCCTAGAATATAATCGTAACAGCTGCGTTGGTTATGAAAATTTGGAGGAAAATGGAGGGTAATTGAGTATTTTTTGTTGTTGTTTTTGTGCAGGAGAGAGAGACTGTGGTTATGGGGAATTTCTTCCCGGCGTTTGAACATTTACGGCCTCACTCAGTTCGGCATACAGTCCCTCCATTTCAGCAGGTTGGAACTATCGCTGAAGGTTTAATCAGTTTCTTTTGTAATTACGTTTTTGGAATCGACAGTACAAAAACAAAAGTAAATCTCTACATCTCTGTATGAAGTTAAGGTCGGGTAAAGATAGGGAGCTCTCTATTCGGTCAAGTTATAATAATCGAAAGTAGGGTATGTGTCCATGAATGGGGATATAAAATAGTTGGGTCTATCAAAATCAAACAAAAAAGGTTGGGTCTTGCATGACATGCTTGGACTTTGATTTGATGAAAATCGAGCTGTATCTTTGTAAGACTGGGTATAGGCCCTTGTAATCACAGTACTAATGAACATGGGTTGAATGTAATATGGGAGGATTGGAATAGTATATGGGTCTTACTTTTCATGATATATGTTACAGGGCACTACGATTTGTTGGATGATACCACCAATGGAATAGGGATAATCTGATTTGTGGGTACATTTCGACTGAATCAGTTTATTTCATAGAGTTAGCCTGAGTCCAACTCTGTACTCATGTACTTGTGATCGGTTCTGTTCTTTTTTTCTCCTGGTAACTAGGCTCTATCAGTTGTGGTATCAGCAACGGAATCACTCAACATTTCTGATTTGCACATGGCAGAACCATGTTGAATAAGAACGAGAATGGGGGAAAAGAAAATGAACAATCGTGAATAGCATTGCTTAACTCATCTTCCATTGTGACTGTTTTAACTAACTATATGCCCAAGAGAATAGATGTTGTTGCTAGTTGGCTGGAATAATACGCACAGTCACACTGTGAGAATATGAATCCTCAAACTTTACTAAATATCTATCTTTTTTTCTTTGTAGTAACTATGATCCACTTTCCATTACTAAACATGCTATATAGCTTTTGCCAGTTGGTTATTCTTGAAAAATCAAAAGGATACCATGAACTTAAAATTTTCCTTTTGAAAACTTTCAAGCTCTGCTCTAGAGAGGAAGACTGGGGCATTTTGCAGTGAACAAAAGTTTTCTACCATTCTTAGAAGCAACCAATATATTTGCTTGCTGTTCATCTTTAACTTTTTGTTGTGGTGAGACCCTTTCTTGAAGTTCCAATACTAAGTTGTATTCTCTGACAATTTGTTTCTTCAAAATGAATTATGTTTTACTTAACTAGAGCCAATTTCAGTTAGAGCCGTGGGTTGCTGTGTATGCAAATAGAATTTTAGATCGAGTTCTTATGGGTTGCAGCTTTATCTTGCACTTTCTTTCAGGCTTTTCAAGGCCAACCAACTTCAAGCACTGCAGTTACTGTTCCACACCCACCTGGTGCACGCCCAAGGGTACGGGCTCGACGGGGACAAGCCACTGATCCTCATAGCATTGCTGAGCGAGTAATATGATTTTTTTCCACATGTAGTGTGCGTGTAATATGAGTTATCTAAACACGCTTTAAGGGAATTAATGTCGCCTTTACTAGCAACATAAGTACTTTTTTAGCTTACTTTGCAATACTGTCCTGAAGTGCATAAAGTCTCTAAAATTTCTTTTACAGTTACGTAGGGAAAGAATATCAGAAAGAATTAAAGCCTTGCAGGAACTTGTTCCCAGTTGCAACAAGGTCTGTGCTTTTTCTTTGTTTGCCATAATTATTATTCCAGTTTCCCTAGATGTTTCTTCTTACCTTTTCTCTGCTTTTAAGCCATTTATGCTGTGCTTATAATTGCACGACAATCTTACCATTGAAGAGGTTAACATGCAATCTTTTCCCCAACGAAATCGTCATTAGTATGTAACGTTACGAGGGACAAAAGTTGATGCCTATCTCCATAGGTATAAAGTGTTATACACATTGTATGGCTCTCTCTGTATGTATAAGGAGTTCACATTGTCCACCTTTTAGTCTGTCTACAGGAACAATCATTCGCAAATGACCATTTTTAGTGAATCCATAAGCATATTGTGGAGTTGTGCACTGTGATTTTGACAGTCACCAACTTTTTCACTCTTTTTGTTATACTTGACGTTGGACCTGTATTAGCTTGTTGGTGAATGCCATCACTGATGGTCACAGTCTCACAGATGCAGAAAAGTGAGGGTTGCATTAAACTTGCACAACTCTTTTTTGTTAGTTAAAGGTTGAACTTTTGCTATGCAGACAGATAGAGCCGCCATGCTTGATGAAATTCTGGACTATGTAAAATTTTTAAGGCTTCAAGTCAAGGTAAACACGCCTAACCAATGATCATGTGAGTAAATATTTAGCCACACTTGTATTGTGGACAAACTCTCCTAACTGTTCATATGCATGCGTATATCCTCCTAGATATTCTTAGTCAATAGTGGATGTATCTTGTCGTCTTGTATCTATAATTTCTATCTAGCATCTTCCACTATTCTACTATTTTGCCAACTGCTAAATAATTTTTTTGGTAATGATTACATATATCTCTTCATTGGCTATTTATATTCTTGCAAAATGTCTTCATGTTCTTATAGACCAATGCATACCACCAACATGAATCAAAATGCTTTGGCAGTGTGTGTTGAAAACAAAAGTACCATGATTAAATTTGTTGAACTTTTGGGTGGGTGGTCCTGTTTTAACAACTTTATTGGTTATTTGAACTTGCCATTATCTTCTCGCTGTTACCTGTCCATTAATTTTCATTCACATGCTTAGCAGGTTCTCAGCATGAGTAGATTGGGTGGAGCTGGTGCAGTGGCACAACTTGTTGCTGACATCCCACCACAATCGGTTGAGGTAATGGAAATTAAGAAATGGGCAGAGAAAAACCGAAAAACAGTCGCATGTATTTTCAGGATGTCTCGTACTGTGCATTCCTTCCATAACTACTCCTTATCGAATGTTTAGGGAAACACTGATGAAAGTGGGTGCAATCAGCCTGTCTGGGAGAAGTGGTCAAGTGATGAAACAGAACGAGAGGTAGCTAAGCTTATGGAAGAAGATGTTGGAGCTGCGATGCAATTCCTCCAATCCAAATCACTTTGTATCATGCCTGTATCACTTGCATCTCTAATCTATCCTTCCCACCACTCTGATGCCGCCACCCTTGTCAAGCCTGAACCAACAGCCCAATCATAGACCTAGAAAAAATTGCACGTGCCTATGAGAGCTCCCAATAGCCTTTTGTTCCACTCTCCTTTATGTCTAAACCTATCACCACTCAGTATCTTTCTTTAGCATTTAGTGGCAGTGCAATCAAACTCGGATGCCACAATGTTCCTTTTGGCTTGCCTTTTGGTCCCCCTCTTTTCTCTTTTTTGGAGTTTTTTCAAACAAAGGTTTGATGTCCTATGCGACCTATGTTGAAGAAAACAAAAGAAATCAAGGCACTTCATCATTTAGTTTTGAAGTTATCTCTTACGCTACTTCCCCTTTTTGGTTGTGGATTGGTGGGGACTGGGCCTTCGCATGGTGGATGGTGGGGGCACTGCAAAAGAGATTATTTTGGACATGTAAATTTAATGTACTTAAAGAACATGGCGGAAATGGGTAATGGAAGTCATCCTTTTGGAAAACTTATCCAGGAGAAATTATTTGTGCGTGCTTTGCTGTTTGTTTTCTATGTTTTGAGTGGGATTTGTTTACTGAAAGCAACTTGAATTTTTCTCCAGCTTTAGTATGTGTAGATGATGAGGTATTTACCACTGCGGGGGAGGTCGAAGGTTCGAATCTCATCAAAGACGATGTATATATATGTGATGGAAACAAGACTGAATCAAAGAGAGTGGACTTTGTTGCAAAGTTCAAGTCGAAGAAATAATCTCTTGCATGCGAGAATAGGACTGCAAATATCTGATCTTCCCTAGTCCTCGGTGGACATCTTCGTACATTGGGCTGTTTTTTTTAACAATCCTAGATCGAGTTTAAGCTCGGAATTTTATTTTCGTTGTTTAGTGGCTCCCATCGTCTTTTCCTTTAAAATGTTATCTTTTTTACGACCAATTTTAAAACTTAAGTAAAAGATAAAGAGTTGGGTCAACTAATTGACAACTTGCATAAATCTTGGCAAATCTCTTATTAAATTATATTGGGACAATTTTTCTCTTCTTTTTTTTAAATGATTAAACAAATGCTTCATGGAGTTAGAATTTTTCTCTAAATTCATTGAGCTCTGAGGGCAAAACACATATTAATCAAAGTGAACTTACCGAAGGCATACTAAAAAATTTGAAGGAAGGAAATGAATAGGTGTTATAGGTGACACCACTAGGGATAGTTACTATATGATGCTAAAACAAACTGGGTATCTATAATAATATTAAAAGATATAGAACTTTTCCAATTTTCTAAATTGAAATCAACTCTTTCAATCATTATCTACCACAGAGACATTGCAAAACTGATTAGTAATAAAATGCTCGTCAAAGAGATGGAATTTGGACTCCTTGAAACGTAATCGAGCAGTTAAATGCAACTAAATCATGTAGCTCAGGGTTCGTGTTGATTTATATCTCACAGTTTGTACTAATCAAATGACTGATTGAATAATTATAATCATACATGACTGTTGTGAGTATATAATTTTTAATGTATTCTATTTGGTTTAACGGTTAGGAATGTTTACATTAAGTTATGCGTACATCGATTAGTTTCCTCTCCGGTCTGATCACAAGCAGATCATCCTCGTCGATACTAGGATATTAATGAGAAAATTTTATTTTATCCGTCTTTGGAGTTTATTTTTTAGCCAATAATTGTCAATTCTAACCAGGAGTGATTATACATTTTTAACAAAGATATATGAATTATATTTCAACAAAAATATCCAGTTCATATCTCAACGTCAAATTGGTGTCCTACTATTGTACCTGATGACGATGGATTTAAGTCTAAACTCCTTTTTTGAGCTTAAAATTTTCAATGAGCTCATCAATGGCAATCCAAATGGTTCATCTAGATGGCGTATGCCGTGTCTAGCCTAGGCCACAACCCAACCCAATGGAAGCCCAGGATCGTCCAACTTGGATATACGTCAGCCCGGCCTAGCACGGTCAGTGATAAGTATCTGTTCGGGAGTTTGGAGCTCTGCACAAAACGGATCTCAAATAACCCTATCATGTCACGTGGATAAGAGACAAGGGGACAATACTTGACAACTTTAACAAACGAATATTCATCGATAGTGGAGATACCTAATACATACTGTTCTAGGCATAGTGGGCACAAAAAGGTCAGGTTAACAGATTCAACTATAGAACAAATAAGGAGGGGACCACATAATTATCCAAAATAGGAAGCATTGTGGAAACCCTAGCAACAAAATTTATAAATAGAAGACGATATTATTGTATAAAAACTCAACCAAGGAAGCATTCTAAAAAAGGCTTTCAGCCAAATCATCTGTAATTGCAACATTCTTCCTCAAGTAATGTCATTCTTAATGAGCAAGAATCTCCCCTTACGGTGGATATGGTCTTAGTCATTCGACTGAGGTGAACCACTCATATTCACGTATTCGTTCCCATTTCAATTTTTAACTTTCCCTCCATCTTAAGCATACACTAAGCCCCCTAGACCTGATTTCCTTCTTGTTCTGTAATTGGGTAAGAAAAATTCGAGAACCATCAGTACCAATAATATTTTTAAAAAATTATATTTAGTCATAGATTTCTACCTTGATTATGCACAATTCTTAATCAAAGAAATTAATAAGATAAGGTAAGAAATTGTGTTGTGACGAATATGTGTTATGTCTTGAATCGTATTAAAATTTGTTAAATTCATACTCGATTTGTTTTGTTTATAATTGTATATATGTATTTATGTATGTATGTATATATACATATATATATGTGTGTGGGTGTGTGTGTGTGTGTCCATATCATGTCTCGTGCGTGTTGTGTATAAGTCAAATTTAACTACTTCTTGCTTTTATTTAACTAAATCTTTGTTAATCCATCCCTTTGACTTTACTAAATTAATCTTAAAATTTAATAAAATTTTATTAATTTTGTATCGAATTAATGAGTGGCATTTTAGAATTTACATGTCAAACTAGCATCAAACTCAACAGCCTTGCCTGACCAAAAAAAAAAAGAAAAAAACTCAACAGCCAACTGTGGCCTCTTCACAAGCTCCAAAAATTCACGTGCTGTTATAAGCCAAAAAGTTTGTAAATAATTTAATTTTTTTGCTTTCTACCATTAAAGATTAAATCTTTCTATTAGTTTTCATTAATTTTTCTGTGAACGTCAACGAATTATATTAGCTTTCGTTAATTTTTCCGTGAACGTCAACAAGGAGTTAGTGTTTTACGAAAAAAGTTGCACACAGAGAGGTACACACCTGCACTTTAGCACGTCCACCCATCCACTTCACTTCTTCGGTTTTAGGGTTTACAAGTGTACTATTTTTACATGAGGAAACTTCAATAGGATTCCCTAGCTAACTCGTTTAGGCATTGTCAGTTGCCAGATAAAACCTCCAATCAGGAGGATTTCAGAGCTCATCTCATTTTTTCTAAAACCATGGATTTTATGTATACGTGTGCGTAAAGCAATCGCAGATGATATACTGGTAGTCTGTTGATTCTATTTTCTGATTTGTACATCAACCATTATGTAACTTATGCACAATGCAACATATTTAAACCGTATTTGTGGGTCTTTTTATACACCTATGTTTTCTGCTCCTCTTTTAACATCATCTTCTTATTGATCTCATGCTGCTACCTACATCTTCAGCAACTTTTTCGGTCTCTTGCAGAGAACTGGTTTAGCTAGGAGCTAGGTGTTGGACCCTTTAATACACCTATTAAATCCTTGGTGGTGAACTTCAAATAACTTTGTGAACTCCATAAAAATAGAACAAGATGTATCCTTACTATTTGAAACAATGGCTGGTGACTGGCTTCACATAAAGGCAACAGATGGTATTCATTTTATCAAGCAATTACCTGGCTATCACCATTGATTGATTGTCTTCTCTCACTTGAGAGTACAATGGAAAAAAAATATGTATCCTCAGTTGATCAACTGTCCGGCATCATTGGACACCAATGTGATGGACAAACATCAGACCTTCTCATTCGCTTCACTTGCATTAGTTCAAAAGTCTATGCGACAAAGTAAAACTTTTGAAAGCTTTCCATAGTATGCAAGAGAAACATTTTTGTACATTTTTTTTTTATTGTTGTTGTTGTTTTGGGAAGTGGGTGAAATTGGAGAATATTTTCACTTGCATAGTTTGTTTGTTTCATCCCATATATATAATGCTTTTAGCCAAGTCCAATTAGATATGTTTCTTTTGAGTACTTGATTCCTTGAAAAGACAGATTTCTCGAAGGATCCTTACGGTGACGTTTCTGCAAAATTTCTGCCATGATCTTTCTTCCACTGAGGCCATGAACTCAAAAAGACTCAGAAAAAAAAAAAAGAGAAGAGAGGGAGAAGCGAGGACTCGGGCGTATCCAGGTGAGACAGTGCCGACGGAAGGAATGAGGAATTAAGGTTAGGCTCCAGTGGCCAGCCCAACCCGACCCGACCACTCAAAAGTGGACTCAAATTTAAATTTTAAATAAAAATAGCCCAAATTTTTACCAAAAACCTCTTTTACAGACCCAAATTGAATAAGCACTCAACTTTTTACTCAACACTCATATTCTGTATATAGCCCAAATGCCCAATCTCTCTCTCTCTTCCCTCCCAGTGCGAACCAGATTTTTGAAAAAATATTAGGTGTAATCGTTATATTATGTCAGTATTGTTACATAGTGTAGCTGTTCACTAANCTCGGGCGTATCCAGGTGAGACAGTGCCGACGGAAGGAATGAGGAATTAAGGTTAGACTCCGGTGGCCAGCCCAACCCGACCTGACCACTCAAAAGTGGACTCAAATTTAAATTTTAAATAGAAATAGCCCAAATTTTTACCAAAAACCTCTTTTCAGACCCAAATTGAATAAGCACTCAACTTTTTACTCAACACTCATATTCTGAATATAGCCCAAATGCCCAATCTCTCTCTCTCTTCCCTCCCGGTGTGAACCAGATTTTCGAAAAAATATTAGGTGTAATCTTTATATTATGTCAGTATTGTTACATAGTGTAGCTGTTCACTAAGAGTTAAACAAATCAGTAAGTAGCCTCCATTAAAATTCATAATTACCCAATCATGTTATATATATTCACCTCTCAATATAAGAAGCGGACTTTATTATGTAATGAATATCCACCTCCCATTATAAGAATCGGAATTTATTATGTCATGCATATCAACCTCTCATTATAAGAAGCGAGCTCTATTTTATCCTATTTAATATATTATTTTCTTATTGAACGGTTAATATTTACCTTTTCCGCCGTCAAATCTCATCTACCTCCTTCCCTGTACAAGCTAATCTGCTACTTTCCCGTCACCAAGTCCGCCACCACCACACGCTGATCTTCGGTTTTGTATTCGTAGGATCCGATTTTTATTTTAATTTGTTGATTTTCCCTATTATTCTTCAATTTATGTACTTAATGGGCTCCATTTCATTGAACTTTCGTACCTATTGATGTAAAGCTAACAGAGAAAATTCAGTGGGATATTTTTCTTTCTTGGTTTTTTGTGGTGTTAGGATTCAAAAACTCAAAGAAATGAGTTTTTGGGATACTAGG